ATATAATGTCAAAGATACCAGAAACACATGGTATATATCTCCCCAAGATAGAAACTGTATCACCAAAATGCATGGTGGAACTGTATTGTTTAAATGAGGCGCCGCTTACGGCTGTGGATAAAGAAAATAAATTGTCATAATATTGGAAAGAGACCTCTTGGTGTGGCATGTGCCATCATGAAATCTTCGTTCAGGTGATAGACGATTGCTGGTTGAGCCCAGGTCCAGGAGGTCATGGGGTGACAGATCTTTTGTAGTTGCGGCCCCCCCGTTTGTGGAACAGATTACCTCTTGAAATAAGATCAAGTTCGTCGACTGCTTTGTTCAAACGTGCTCTGAAAACACATCTATTTTTTGTTGCTCAAAGAAATTAATTTATTGTGAATTGATTTTTTTTTGTTTTGTTCTTTAATTTGTTTAGTTAGATGCCCACAAAATTGAGAACACCTGTGAGTTATGTACTAGCCGGTCTTTGCATCTTAAATTGCTGGTAAACGGAAGCAGTGATGTGGGTTATGGTCGTTTTTCTGGTAGCCTTTAGTTTAAAAGGATAAGCTTTTTCATGGTTTTCACAAGCTCCTTGAGCACTTTAGTGGAGATGTGCGCTTAATAAATCTTATTATTATTATTATTATTATTATTATTATTATTATTATTATTATTATTATTATTATTATTATTGGCTCCGCGTACATTGGATATGCTTTACTCTTGCTATGCGATAGTACTATCTTGTGTTTCTAGTATCTTTTACATGTGTTGAATAATATTGAGAGACTATTACTGTTACAAAAATACCGTTAGAAAGCAAACTTTGAGACCTAATAGTTTTATTAACACAGGCTTCCGTGTACAGAGTACATTTCTTCAGTTGGGGAATTAGGGAGGGCTTTACACGCATTAAAGAACATCGCACAGCGAATGAGATTGTGACCTGATAGGTCTCGTAACGTTCTGTAAGTACGTCTTCATATTTAGTCGTTGATTAAAAAGAACTTTACAACCTACTACTACAAACAACTACAACCTACTACTACAAACAACTAAATGAATTTGTTTCAACAAATATACAATGTCTTGTTAAGAAATACAACAAAGCATTACAGACACAACACAAATAAGAAGATATGGTGGTTCCCTAACTACAGTAAAATATATATTCCAAGTTACTTTCAATATAAAACTGTCAGATAATTTTCTGCAATGAAAACTTAATCTATATTTTGTCTTCTAATAAAAAATTAAGACACCGATCTTAAAGGAAATTAATACATGCGTAATGTGAAATTAGGCGAAGCGTATTTTAAAAAGCCACTGTTACTACAGCTTCCCTTTCTGTTTATAACGTACAATTTTCCTTCAAACCAACTTTTTATAAAACATAAATAAATACTGCAAATTCAATAAAGTGTTTGCTTTCATAAATGGTATGCCTATATAGCAATTACATAAAATATGCCTAGTACTAGACATAAAATTGTGTACACTATATATCACACAGAATGAATAACCATTTCGGTTTAAAATTGTAAGATGCTTGGTTAGAATATGGAACAGTTAATTTAACTGGTTTTTTTTAGAAGAACTGATTTGTTATTGAAATCGAAGCAAAATATATCTTAATTTTATATGCATACATTAATATTACATTTTAACAACTATGGCAAAACTAATACTTCTGATCTAGTTGTTCTGCCCATGATGTGTCAAATGTCCATTGGTACTTCGTTGGGTCCACAAACATTATTTAGGATTCTGTTCACATGGACAATACACAAGTACTGTAAAATAGAAGGAGCCATGCCAATGAATACATACTGGGTTACATTTAGTTATTAATGGTGAAACTTTGCCTTAGCTGCCCCAGTGTTTTTATGTATAGTGCATTTAACCAAACGTTTTATTTTAAAGGAGCAATTCGAAGCTGTTTACAGTCTTACCTCTTTTGCAAGTTGGTCCACTGAATCTAGTCGAACATTTGCAAAATGCATTACCATCTTCATCAATACTACATACTCCATACAAACAATGCAGACGACATTCAATCTCTGCAAATTGAATTGAATGAGTTTTTAAGAGTACATAAGTAATGAGTTGATTTATTCGGATTTGAATTTCACAAGCAAGACGGTTTAAAGTTAATTGAAATAACTCTAACAACCCGCTTGGAAACGACTCGGGACGGTTGATACGTCAAGAATTGTACAATCTTTTGGGACTGTTTTTTATGACCGTCACTTTGGTTACTTCCCATGCTTAGTTTCCGTGCTAGGCCAAAGTATAGGCCATATATCAAGGATGTGCCTCCTAATATTTTGTGTCAATCTATGGTGGGATGTGCGTGTGTGAGGATCACACAGTTTACACTGGATATTTCAAAAAAATGCTCAGTTGATCTAAATGAAACTTTCGGGAAAGTTTAATAAAGTTACAAGGAAGAAATTTTTATGTGTTAGTTAAGATCCCGTGAAAAGTGTAACTTTGAATCCTTTTCAATTTTTGAGGACCAAGACCTAAATATTTCTTTAAGAAAATCAATGAGTATTATTTAAACCTTGTATAACAGTTAGTCAGGTCAAGTAAAAAAAATGATTAATTTTCTGTGACGATCCGGATTAGGGTGGAGATTTAAGGACTAGTGAAAGGAAAATGTCCCAGACCAGATATTTCGAAAACGGATCAACAGATCTGAATGAAAAAATCGAAAAAAGCTTTACCAAGTTACAAAGAAGACAGTATTATGTGTTGGGGACGATTCAGTCAAGGGTGTAAATTTGAGGGTCATTTAAATTGTTGAGATTTTAGACATATATCTATAAAAATAAAAAATTCAATAATAGTTTGTAAAGGTCCAGTAAAGATGACTAAATTTGTGTGATGATCCGGCGTAGGATGTGGATATGATGACCATTTAAAGGAAAACGTTCCAGACCAGATATTTCAAAAACGGGTACACTGATCCGAATGAAACTTTCGGGAAAGTTTAACCCAAGTTACAAGAAAGATATTATTATGCGTAGGGGACAATCCCGTTTAGGGTGTAAATTTGATGGTCATTTAAATTTCTTAATTGCTTTGCGGAATATTTTTCATGTTGACATGGTGAAATGGAGGAATCATCCAATTTTAGTGACGATCCGCAGTAAGGTGTGGATATGAGGACCATTTGATGACAGTTTTTGTTGACAGTTGATTAAATTATTTAAACGCAATTTGCGTTTTCTAAAGCTCTTAAACCAGTTACAGATAGGTTAAATCCAAATCTACTGTGATATGCATAAACAATTTTTGCCTTTAGTCATTGAATCGCTATGAACTGAAAATGCACTTTCTATGCAAGGTCGGCTTATATAGCGTGCAATGGTTATGAGTCACGATCTACCTCCCTATTACCATTGCAGCCATTGTGCAAGTCACACTAATAACGTCACGGTGAACTTGGTTTTCGTTGTGTTTTTTTCCCAACTTCATAATTTGTTAAGTACTATACTTTTTACGTGTTATTTCTGCCATGGAAATTTCAACTAAGTTAAAAGGAAGGCATTATTATTATTTTATATACTACCCACCAGTTGTTTCTCCGTCCCAGGTGGTTGGCCTCACTGACGTCGGTTTTATAGTTGTTGATTCTTAATAAAATGAATAACATTTTGAAAATTAATTATTCAGTTGAAGATTTGGGTATTCTGTCATTGAACACAAGGTCCAGATAATCAGATCATGGGAGAATAAAATACTGTGTATATATGCACTTAATAAGACACATTATCCCGACCTACCCGTTCTTCCTTTTTGTCCTTCTGTGGTCTGCGGCACTGTCGTCGTAGTCACGGTATTTGTATCTTAGGAAAATGAATAATATAAGTTTTAAATAATATAATTATAATTAATAGACCTGTAAACAGTTATAAAATCAAATAAGATGACATGACAAGAATCCACTGATATACTGGTTTATATTGGTTTATTGGTATATATAATTAGTTTTTAATTATGGTAATTAGAAGTTCTATTGTATTTAAGTTGTATATATGCGTTGGTATCGCAATAAAAAAAATCCTTCTGTGTCTACATGCACCAATCAATTTATTCCTACGGTTAAGTGAGCTTAATTCAGGGCTACATATAATACATATAATAAAATATTTCTCAAGCAAGCATAGAATACACCGTTTAATGATATTTGAATGGGGTTTGCATCTAATATTTTTCATTTAATTTCATATTTCATATTATCGTTTTTAAGTTTCCAAATGTATTGGCTAAGCGCCGTGCTATGTTTGTAGTTTTCGTTGCGAAATTAGGTAGTATGTCAATTATATCTGTCCTTAAAAGTGTTTTCTGTCAGTCCGACATAAGTTTCTATTTTGTTGTTGTAATCTTAACGCAGGACAGTGGCCTGATTTACTATTCCTTTGGTTAGGCATTTGTTAGACCGGGGGCACGCGTTGTGGCAAATGCATTCATTGGCATCGTCGTCTGTGCGGGTCGTGACATTGAGTACTGTTTTAGTGTGTGCAGGGATTATTGAACCGATATTCGGCATACAACTGTAACTAATTTTGATAGCATTTCGGTTAAATATTTTCCTCATTGCATGGTTGGGTGGGAAGCATTCATCCACAATTTCTAAAAAATCATGTACAATTATTGTCATCACGTTATTGCTGTATGGTGGGTTTAACCAGATGATGTTCTTTTTACGTTTTCCTCCTGTCTCTTTGTTTTTGTGCTCGTATCGTATAGATGGTGGATGGTTACTTTTTGAGTGTATGTACAGAGGCTTGTTTTTTTTCCCCTTCATTTAGGGTCTGTGGGTTCCGCCGGTTAAGTTTAGTTTTACGTCTTGATAGTTAATCTATATCTTGTTCGCGTCTATTGTTATTTTCAAATCGTGCTCTTTAACATTTTTTTTTCAATTTGCTGGGGAGATTTGACAAATGGCACCAGCCCATTAT